GTATAGTTTCTTAAAGAGAAAAGAAGCTATACTTACCTCTTGGACACTGCATATACCTACGAAAGGATTCCCTGTGCCATGTCGTCGTTATAGAGTAAATTAAGATGGCTTTACTCTGTAACAATATATTTAATTTATATAAAATAGTATTTGACTAAATCAGGTTTTAGTACTGGGATTTGAGATATTTAAATGCATATCTTTTAGAATTATATATATACACATTTACAATATATATAAATATATAGTATACATTGTATAAACATAAATACATTATCACATGAATGCACATGAATATGCATAGATATATAAAAATGTGTATTGACCTGTTTATAATTGGGGTATTCAATTGTGAATTTTACTATTTTTAAAATATATCCTGTATTAATCAAGTAGCTCAAATTAATAAACTTGTTGTATGATAGAATTCATATGATGGTTATTTTTTTCACTATGATTATATACAATAGCATTGAAGTATTTATTTAATTTATTTTATTTTTATAAGAAGCAAATATTAAGGTGTACTATATTTCATCATAGAAAATATTAGCATGTGTAATTCATAAACACGAATTATTGTAATTTTTTTATTTATTTTAATAATTAAACTGGAAATATAAATTTATTTTTATTTATTTTTTTATTTTATGTAAAAAAAAAAAAGATAGAGAAAAAAAATTTAATAGATAAATTTTTTTATTCACAATAAAAAAAATAAGCAAAGCAAATAAAAAAAAATAAAAAATAAAAAAATTTAAGATGTGGATGCATCTAGATCATGAACTTGATTTAATGAATTTTTGGCAAGATCAGCTACTTTTGGGTGACCTTTTGACTTGATATATAGTTGAGTTGCTGTGGCTTTTTTGCGCTTGTTTCACCTTTAACACGTGAAGCAATTGTTTGAGTTGTATTAGCAGTTGTATCGGAATTGTTTATAGAGTCTTTGGAAGATTTGTATAATCAAGAAAGATTAGCTGGTGCTTTCATATTAACAGATTTTGGGAATTCGAAAAAATTTAAATTTCTAAGATGGACAACAAAAGTATCTTCAACTAAAAGAAGTTCTCCACTTATATAAATAGTAGAACCCTTTTTAACAATTGAAGATACCCAGGCAAGGTGTTTGGCAAATACCAAATGGTGGCATTCGAATTCTTGAGTTACATTATCTTGGTCCAAATAGTATTTTGTTTCAACGGTTAAAGAAATAGTAGCATGGTCTTCATTAATAGCAAAAGCTTCTTTGGTAACAGCAGTCATATTTAATAAGAGAGTTGACTTTGGTAGATTGACAGGATCAATATCAAGATAGACTATATCTGATAATATGATCTAATTGAATTTTTTTATTTTCATTATTATTTTTTTTTTTACAATAAATAAAGAAAATTATAAATAAATTAAAATGGCTTCTTTTTTTAATTTATGCTTGAATTATTAAAAATATGTTTTATCTTTACAATAGGTAAGGTTTCTTTTCATCATCAAGATCACTAACAATTCGAAATTTTTCAGTTACTAACAAAACATCTTCTGTTGAGAAGGATGCTAGATTGTCGTCAGATTTGTTTGTAGAATAAAATGCTACTAAGAGAACAGACAAATCGGTATTACTGTTTCTAAGACGTGTTACTCCTGCTGCTTTTACAATGATAAGATCCTTGTTTGTAGATTTTTCTTGATAATCAGTTATATAGCAAATTGCAGTTAATGTGTTTGGCATTTTTTTTTTTTACAGTGTTAGAGCGCAAGAAAAGTTTTTTTTTTTTTCACAAAAAAATAAGGTCCTTATATAAAGTTTTTTTTATTTATTATCTTATTTTAAATTTTATTTTATTAAAATGTTTTTATTTTATTTATGTAAAATAAAAACAAAATAGATAAATAAGAGTAGACAAGTTTACGCGATTTCTTTTTTTTTATTTTTCTTTCTTTTATTTACTTTATTCACATGTTATTATTATTTATTATTATTATTTATTATTATTTATTTTTTTATTAGAAAAAAAATATATGATTTTTTTCGTTGTTTCTTTTTGTAAATTATTATATTATACTTCAACTTTAACCGTTTTTTTTATTTTTATTGAATTGAATTAAAAGAATGCATCTATACATATAAAATAAAACATATATTGTTATTATTATTGTGTGTGTACTAGATTATTATTATTATTATTATTTTATTTATTTATACAAAAAAAAAACAAAAAAAAAATAAAAAATTTTTTTTCGCTACAGTCTTCGCTATAGCCTTTAGTTATCAGTGATTATCAATTCATCATACTGGCAAAAAATCCGAAGAAAAAAATCAAAATATTAAAAAAATATAGAGATATATACATATTAATCTCAATTTAAATCAATGTAAAACATCAAATGACACTTTTTTTTTTACCCATCTTAAATATCGTGTCTGTAATCGCAAATCCTGCAATTGCAAATTGCAACAATTTAATAAGGTTGCTCTCGGTAGTAGTAGTAGATATAGCAAGTAGCTATGGTAAGTGGCAATAGCATGTGGCCATAGCATGTGGCTATAGCATGTGGTTACTAGTATGTAGCCACTAGCATATAGAAAACAAAATGAAAGAATGAAAATTTTCTTTAACAGAATTGCAAGGAAATTTTCTTTGTCAATCGATGCACCACTTGCAACACAAATCATAGAATGCAAGGAATATATGGTAAGTATCATAGCGTCATACATCTACTTATAGAAATAATCACCCACCCAGAATTAAATGTTGTTAAATAAATACATATTGTCATTGTAATATGTCAAAATATTTTAAAAACTATTATAAATCAAACAACTATAATTTTTATGTTCATGTTTTAAATTATTTTCCATCTCTGGTACATTTCAAAAGATAATTCCAACAACCAGTTATTAATTAATCAATCAACCAATAAAAAAAAAAAAAACCAAAAATCTTACTATCAATTATAAATCTAAACCAAAATGCAATTTATCATTACTTTACAAAAGTACATTATTATTAGGGATGGTAAAAAAACGGTTTAAACAGTTTTTTTATTGTTTTAAAAAATGTTTTAAAACAGCAGTGGCTGGTTTGAAATTTGGCTGGAATTGAAACTACTGCCTTTGATCAGTTAATTCAGTTTCAGAGAAAGATTTATCTTATTATAATTGAATTTATTCGTTACTTGTAAAGAAATTATGAAAGAGTCATAAATTTTGATTTAATTTATTTTAAATTTTTTTATTGAATAAATATACCCTTTTATAATTAGAATTATAAAAAGAAATTATGAAAGAATTATAAAAATGCATTTTGACCTACAATTTTTTTATCAATATGCATTCTGCATTCAATATGTATGTACTATATTTATTTATATTGAAAGTCAAGACCTACAATATGTATTGCAAATATTACTTAATGACATTGTAAAACCAGAATCAGGAAGGTTCAGAAGCTTTTTACATTTAGTTAAATGTTCTTTTAATCGATCAATTAAATCAACGGAGTCCTTATTACAGTAATTACACTTTTTAATTTTTGTAAAATTCAAACGAATTTATTTCAATAGAGGACTTCCACGAGACATAGTTATTCAAGGTAATTTTTTTTTTTTTTGATATTAGTAATCGTAAAAAATATTATTTATTGCGGTTTGCATAATTTTGTAACCCCCCATGATTACTAATTTTTTTTGTAAAATGATTGTGATTGTGATAATGATTACGATTATAATTGCAATTGCAATTGCAATTGTATAGTTATTATAACTTTGTTGTTCACATAAAATTCTTTATATGGAATCTTCAAATACTTACCTAATCGGCACCTGCTATTTGTGTACTCGATGTTTTTATTGTAATTAAATTACATCTTTAAAATCTTGTAAATATATTAAAACTCAAATTCCTAATAAAAAAAACTAGACAAAAGAAGTTTCTTGGGCTTTTAAGCTTAACTACCGTGAAGATTTTTCAACAAAGCAATTTGATCTTTTAGAGAAGCAAAATAAAATATGCAATTACAATGTGGATTTCTCTTTGGATTTTCAATTTTCTCTCTGTAGTTCATGTAATGCAAAATGGTATTGTGCTAAAAATTCTGAAGTAAAAAACAAACATAAAACAAAAAAACAACAAAAAAATTTATCTCTTAACAAGAATACATCTATTAATAATAAGAATAGTAATTATGATAATAGTACTATTTCAAATTATAAAGAAAAGCCAGTTTCAACAACCAATTATCAAAGACCGATATCTCTTAATGATGATATATTAATTAATAATGATGTATTAACTAATTAAAAAAATAGTAATTATAATAATCTTACTATTTCTAATCATGAAGAAAAACCAATTTCAATGATCAAATATCAAAGAGTGATGTCTCTTGATAATAATACATCTATTAATGATGATGTATTTACTAGTAATAATAATATTATTACTATTTCTAATTATGAAGAAAAGTCAATTTTAACAACCAATTATCAAAGAATAATATCTCTTGATGATAATATATCTATTAATAATGATATATTTACTAATTATGAAAATAGTAGTAATAAGGCGAGACCAATTTAATTCAGTGGTTTACGTTACATCCTACTCACAAAAAAAGAGGAGGGGAGGGGGCCGGAGGGAGTTTATTATGAATTTTTTCTCCAAAATTCTCCGTGTTATTATAAAAATTTTCTGAAATTTTCTGCGTATATAGTGAGGGGGGAAGGCGGGAGAGGAGGGGGTAACGTAAACCACTGAATCGAATTGGTCTCGCCTAATAATATCACTATTTCTAATTATAAAGAAAAGCTGATTTTAACAACTAATTATCAAGAAACAATATCTCTTGATGATGATAATATATCTACTGCTTCAAATTATGAAGAAGAATTAATTCCATATGAAATATTTATTAGTAAATCTTATAATAGCGAAGATGAAGATCAAGAGTATATATCAAAATTTATGATAAAGTTATGTATAAAAGAACAAAATGGAATTGCTTTTCCAGCTAAATGATTATCATTTAATGCTCAATCATGTATGGAATTTTACGAAGAAATGCAGTTGTGAATTCAAAGTTTAATAAATAACTTTAAATTAGATCAAAAGGATTATTTTAGCATATAAAGTTATACGAGAAACAGGCATTGGAACTCAAATTACTAATGAAAATGATTTTGTTATATTTACTAAAGAATATAAGCATGCAATTACAAAACAAAAAGAAGTTTTTATTATAGCAACTATGCTATCAAATATATCAACTACTTCTAATAAGTGTAAAAGCAAAAAATCCAAGGTATTATATTTAAAATTAATTTATAATTTATTTTGATAATTTTATAATTTAAATTTATATTTGTAGAAATTTAATAATAATAATGATGATGAAGAAGATTTTGAATTAACTAAAAAGCGAGTAAAGGTTAACAAAATTCCAAATTAAACTAGTTTTGATCAATCTAAACGTGATCTAGCAACAATTATTTCAATTTTACATGAAGAAAGATTTTGTAATCAATGTGAAACACCTTGTTGGCCTACTGATCAAGGTTATATTAAATTAACAGGCGCTCATTATACAGTTTGGGCTCGTAGTATAGTAAGTTTTAATAATTATTATATATAAATTTTAAATATATATAATAAAACTAAATTTTAATTATTTTAGATTAATGGTTTTAATAATACAACATCTCCACCTAATCATTCAATATTTCAAGCGCCACCAAAGCCAAAAGGAATAAAAACTAATAATGCTAGCTTGGAATTTACTCCTCCACCATATTTTATACCAATGCCACAATTTATATATCCTCTAGCATTACAAACTTTTTTTTCGCTATATCAATTATTTTCCCCAATATCACAATTTTCTACTTCAAAATATCAGCTACCAAATACACAATATACAGATCAGCTATCAAATACACAGTATTCAGGTCCTATTCCTATGCTTGAAGAATTTTTGCAAAAAATAGATAATGAAGAAAATGCTGATAAAGAAATTATTAAATGCTTAGATGCATTTAATCAACAAGCAATTAAAATAACCCAGATTCAAAATTTAACAGAAAGTCAATTTGATTGATTAGGAATTAAAAAAATAGGATGGCAAATAGCTTTGCGTGAAGCTTCTCAACATTATAGATAAATAATTTATATAGCTAACAAAGTATAATTTACTAGTAAGTAAAATAATATATACAATTCTTAGTATA